GGATCAGACACTTAGAGCCGTTCAATACTGAAAAGATTAATGAACTTTTTTTTTTACTTATAATGTTTTATAGTGGCTTTTAGGTTTTTCCAGCATTTTTCTATGGAAAAATGTTCGAGATTAAAGAGAGGAGGAAAGTGGACGCAGCGTAATGTGAAAACAGCTTTGAAAATGCTGCTTGGAAAGAAATTGGTAATAAGGCAGGCCGATCGTATCAGTCCGAGATGTTAATTTCGGAATTTTTTATGAAAAGCGTTGAAGAAAGGAAGTTGATTAATGAAAAAGAAAGAATGAAAATGGAAAACAGAGAAGACGAGGAAGTATTAAAGAAAATATCAGGGAAAGAATGAAGTTAGGAGAAGTAATAACTGAGAAAAAATAAATACGTCATCAAAAAGAAAATTGAACTTTCATAAAGAAGTTACTGATCACGAAAACATCGATTATTTTGTTTGTAACATTTGTAAACATGTTTAAATACAGGTTCTATTCAATTGAAATGTATTTTATTAACATTATTAATTATTTATACCTTAAAATCTTGATAAATTTAATGCTTCCTTCAAATTTTCTCAAAATAACGTTAAGTTACATTGGTTACGAGAATTATTGTATTATTATCTTATTACGACAGCTATATTATTAATTGTAGGCTAATTTTCCTGAGAAAAGTAATAGCTTGAATAAATAGATAGAAAAGTGTGCTGCAGATAATTATTATCCAGTAAGTATACAATTAACAAAAATTCATTTGGTTAATTATCGATGATAAATATTTCTTCGATAGAGTTTATATAATATCCAACTCCGACCGATATTACCTAGCAAAAGAGACATTAATTCACAAAAAATAGAATGTTACCTTCTTCGCTAAAGTACAACAGGCAACAGCGAAAAAGAAGGAAGCAACATGAAGCATTCTATTTACGCGTTTAGAAGATTTTTAAGGCTAACAAGTGTCCCAATTTGAAAGGCACAAAGAAAAGGGAAAATGGCCCCTAACGAGAATCTCGTTAAGTCGGAAGTGACTTATTTTCTTTTACAATAATTCTCAGTTTCACGTAGACACTAATACAATATAAATTGGGCGATGCTACTACATGTTAATGGCTAAGAGTTAATTAACCCTTTGCGCTGTCAAGCAATTCCGAGGCTGAGCAGAGTGTAGCGCGGAGAATATTGTTTTTACCTATTTTCCGCAATTATGTGAAATAATTTTATTTATTTTATAACATTACACAGAGTGAAACATTTCAAAACAATCTGGAATACCTAATGCAACAGGACTATCGACGCGTGTAATACATCATTGGCATTTTTACAATAAAAATATCTCGAAAAGATGTTAAATTGATAGACCTACATAGTGACCACGTATGTTCCAGTTTGGTAGACAGGGAATTGAAACGGAAAGATGGTTTCCTGCTGTTTACAATCGAGCATTCAAATATTAGACGACCAATATTTACGATACCTGTCGAATAAGTGTCTATATGCCTTTTTGATGAACGAGGATTGGAAGACTTTCACACAAAAATTTGTTTATTGCTCATCGGTATAATCTATTTGACAACTGACAAATTATTTGAGCGCGTCGCGTCTCGCACAAATGTTCTTAAATGTTTGTCCGTGTCCAATTCCGGAAATTGAATAAAATTTTCATTATTGACCAGAATCGCAAGGATTCGATAAAAATGGCTCACTTCAATATGACTTCTCTTTCAACTTTAATTCCTAATTGATTTTACCATAAAGGAAAAGAGACGTGCCAATTTCTCCCAATCTAATGGTACTGAAACGTTCCATCTCCCTCTTCGGTATAAAACGCACGTGCAAAACTTGATTGACCCTTTATACTCCTTTTGTCGAATGTGATTTGACGTCAATTTTATTCGTAGGTGCTCCTGTGTTTAGTCATAGGCGATTATTTTAAATTATATTGAACAGACTTTTGATTCTTCGGCATAAGTAGGCTAATACGCTTTCATAGAATACGATTACAAGAACGATTAGTCTTGGAAAGAAGAATTATAAATTTTAAAATGGATAATTCACAAGAAAAAGATTTGATTCGTGAGCAAAATTAATCTAGAGCATTCTGTTAAGTAAAAGAAAAGAGAGGAAAATAAATGTATCAAAATTGATTGAAAAGAAAAGTAAAATGTTGTTCTGGAAAGTAACGATAAAATGTCCATTTTATTTGCATTCATTTTTTTCGAAGGTTATTGAAGAGAGATAAAAAGTTATTCCAAATTTCAAAAAGTAATGTACCGTTTCCGTTTAAAAGTTGTTACAAGTTTTTTATCATCTTTACCTATCTCACGTTCTACGAACTATATTATTTAGCAGACATTAGGATCAATAATAGTGCAATTAAAATAATTTCCTCGGTTAGAGATATAAATAACGAAGTAGTTTTTTCTAATTATGTCGTATAATCCTTTCGGTTCATTTGACACGTGATTGTTTGTAAATCTTGACCAATTATGTTAGAAAATCGATCTAGTAAATTATAGGAACACGTGAACATTACCACTATAATTAGTGACTGTTATTATCCAGAAACTAGGATATCGATCACATGAAAACAGGTGCAATCTACGTACGTAGGAAGAATTTTTGCCGTTCACAAATTTAACCTTCTCAATTGACCTATTCGGAAATATTGTTCTGCCTTCTTACAAAATTAAAACTTGGAAAAGCACGAAAGACATATTTTATATAATTTGGAATTAAAGTTTTTATGCTCAAAAGTTATACATTACATTACAAGTTTACTTACTATTTTACAATATTGTACATATTCAATACTAGATTTGAATGGAATAATATTTAACCTCTTGTGGACGAGAATTTTAGAAACTTCTAAAAAGAGCCCCTCCGTAAAAGAAATATATAAATTATACATACAAGTGTTAAACATTGAAAAAAGGATGAAACCATATATTAACTGTTAAGTATGAATTTTCCAAATGAGAGCATTAGTGACATGACCATTCGAGAAGAATTAAATTAATATAGCAAACATTTTACAACAATACACTTCAATATTGCAGGATTTGTATTAATAAAGACATTATAGCTTAACAAGACAAAAACATTATTTATTAAATGAAGACGGAAACGATGAACTACTGAGAAATGAAACTAAACTTGGATGGCGCGTTAACTCGTCATTCCCAGTCAACACATTGACCGCCATGAAAATTTCAAGCATTTCATATATTTATACTACTCATTCTTTGAAATCAAACATAAACGACATTAAAAATAACTATTGACACTAAACGTAACAACAATTTCTGTTTACCTATCACTATCGTAACCAGTTGAATAAGTAGTTATAAAATAAAGGTGAACAAATTAGACAATAAATATTTCTCAGTGGAAACAGAAACAACAGAGAAGCGAAAAATTGAAAAACTGATTAATCGAACAATATAGGAACTGATATCAAGTGAAATTAACAAAAGGGAATGCAGTATTTTAAATCAACTTCCTTACTGTAATTATTTTCGAGCAATTTAGAAAGCTCCAGTCGTTGGTGTCCACCGTGGCAATGAACGCGTTAAAAGGCTAATAGCTCGTTACTTGAATAATTAAATTATTCATTTTACGTATTAAAGCTCGAAGTCGCCATTACGACGCCATGTGACCGCGAATGGTTAATACGCATCGAAGTTGCGGGAATAGGTCACGGTCAATAGCGGTGGCGAAAAGTAAGAAGAATGGCGAGCGATTCACACAAAATCGAATTATCCAACGCAATCAATCTTCCTGGCGATTTTGATGAGGCCACAAATCATTTTCGTGCGCGCCGCTCGAAAGCGAATTAATCCACGTGGCTGGCTTTATTAAACCTTTAAATCACGTTACGGCCCAGGCAGAGTCCCGCTTTCTGAATTTTGCCCTATATAAACGGCAAAAGTTATTGCGTCCTCCGCCGTGCCGCTTTCTCATAGTGTCCTCCAATTAATGAGAAAAGTTTCGCCGTAAGGGGTTCGCGTATCGATATTCTTTACTCCCGCGAATGCTTTTCGAGCGAGTAATTAAGCATCGGGCCACGGCGCAACAAATATTGAACATTTTTCGGCGGAGAACCAGGTGAAACTAACAAACGGAATGCAGGAACGCGTATCGAATTAAAATTGCACGCGATTATTCCGCGAACCGACCTCCTGTTTGTTCTGCGGCAGAAATTTCATCGTTTCAATATTAATCTCGGCGTTCAATTAAAAAAATCGAAAGACGAACGAATATCCAAAAATAAACTGCCAGGACCGCTCGTTCGAATGTTAATTGCGAATATCGATCTTCTCCGCTATCCGCGTTTAAATCCTTTCCTTTGGATTTATCATTTTTTTTTCGCTGGTTGTGTAGAATTTATTAATTAACGTTTTCGTCAATTAGGTCCGAGGCGAATTGTTCATTAGGCTTGATATAAATGAAATGTAACGGTTAAGAATTACATACGTGTTTCATTGAATGAAAATTGAAAATATTTCAATTGCCCTGCAAATCAAAGTTCTGTTTTGATTCAAAGATCATTAAACCACAGTTTTTTAATGTTTTAGACTTATATTTTGTTCATTAAATCAGCGTATCGTCTACTTTTCTGTACGTTCTAACGTCGTCCTGCTGGAACGCAAAATTTTCACCAAGTGACATTGCAAATTTGTTTTTTGGTAGTGATCAAACACAGTGTTTCGGATAATTGTTTAGACTTTTAATTACAGCTTGTATTTCGGTAATTTTATGATATTCAATTTTATCATATTCAAACCTATGTAATTCATAATGCTCTAATGTTAGTGCACTAATAAATTAATACCTATTCCTTCTTAAGTAAATAGTGAAGATAATAAATTTATTTTAACATTTACTCGTTATATAAAAAAAAAACCTTAATCTGTACTAAATGACAGAGTAGGATATACAAAGTATTAATAAGAACGGAAATAATCGAACAAATAATCGTATCAATAAGCAATAGAACTTACTTCCATTCACCTAGTTTTTTTACGCGTTTCATCACAGAAAACGATCGCGTACTTTCCCATTTTCACGCGTGACCTCTTCCTCTCATTATTTCCTGTCGTATTTTATAAAAACTTCGCAGCGGTAACCAACAAATATAATACGTAACGATGTTTCGCGTCGCAAAATTAAGGTATTCCTTTCGTACCCTTCACCCCCTAACCAATTCCATCACTGGCCACTTTACATATGTCGAAAAAACAATATCCGTTTAATCTCGGACGTTACGTATCGCCTGTCGCAGCGACAATGAAATTTCCCATTGAACAGTCGCTTGCCGAGTAACGTCATCCCCAGTCCGATATTTCGTGGGCTAGTTTCACGGTTGGTCAACGAAACACGAACTCGATGTTGCGGGGGCCAACGGGCAACGAGAAGACAGTACCGAAAGGCGATCGAAATGAACCAGAAAAAAAAAGAAGGAAGAACGGAACGAGTCTAGCGCGATATAGTTCGGTGACTCTTTTTCCGGCGGAACACTTCAATTATCGTCGAAGCAAGAGGAAGCCCGATGCACCGCCGCGAACGATCCTCTGGTTGCATCGCGACGCTGGTCTCCGTGTAGCCAGCCTCGTGTCACACCACAGTCTAACCACGACACACGACAACATACATACATGCATACATACGTATCGGGCGGCCTCTGTTGTTTAGTTAACCGAATATTTGCCCAATGATGCGCATGTCGTGATAAGCTGACGGGAGCACACACATACACATATACACGCACACGAACATCCAGAACGGAGTCAACGTACATCCGAGAGTCGGTGTTGGTATGTCTGTGTATTCTCCGCTCTCCTCGCTTCGTGACATCAATTTTCGAACACCGGCGTGTGCGTGTGCACACGGTTACGTGTACCTCTACCTGCATGTAGGAGTCGTCAATTCGTCGCTGGTATGAGCGCGGACCTATACAAAAGGAAGCCGAACGCGGGCCACACTGTGAAAAGGGGATGAAAGGGTTCAGTCGGAAGAAGAGTTGGAAACGGCGGCGAGGACAGGCGGGAAGGAGCGTGACTGGTCCGATACGCGAGAGGAATGGGGGGAAGAGCTAGCGCAGGGGTGCAAGGATGACCGCCGAAAGAGAATACGCGATCGTCTAGCGCGATCATCTCTTCGAAGATGTCTGTCCACGTTTGATCAAGGACAAAGACGTTAGTTACGCTTACAGTGGAGTGATTAAAGACACAAGGGGTGAAGTGATCCTAAACCGCAAACGAGACTCAACGACCTTTACATTCCCGCCGTTAGACGCTAGCAGTCTTGCTAGGGGCTGGCGTTCTTGGAACCTTCGGCCAGGCATCAGGGCTTCCATCGAAACGGTGCACCGTCGATGTAACGCGATACGATGCACGTGAGAATACACGTCAGGGTGAACAGTCGAGGCCGCAGAAGCAGCCACATGAATGAGGACCGCGTCCGGTCCACGCAGCATCCGTAGGCGGGTGACACCGCGCGCCTACCGCGACTTAGCAACTGCCATCTTTGCCGTTTATTCGGCGGAAACCAGCTCGTCGCGACACATACCTCCTCGATTTCATCCTGATCCCGTGCACCAGCACCGCCAGTGCCTCCAACGCCGCCAGTCTCCGTTCGGATCTGTCCGTGCTCGCGCCACTTTTAACCCCCTCAATCACGGTTCCAGCGGAGGGAGAAAGAGGGAGATGAAGAAGAGAGACAGAGAGAGAGAGAGAGAGAGGGAGAGAGAGGGAGAGATAGAGAGAAAGAAAGAAAGAAAGAGAGAGAGAGAGAGAGAGAGGCAGAGAGACTGCGGAGAAAGAGAGGAAAAAGATAGAGAAAGGAGGAGAGAGAAAGAGAAAGAGAGGGAGAGATGGAGAAAGGGATGAGGGTGGTATCGAAGCGACAGGGAGAGGAACGAAGAGATGGAGAGACGGAACCAGAGATACCGACGAGGACACCACACACACTGCAACGATCTTCACTGGGAAATGTCCTCCTGGACACGTAACCCTCTTGGGTCAAGCTTCCGTTTCACGGTCCACGGGGGGACGCGCTCGTGATCGAAACGGTACGCACGGAGGGAACTCGTACGGGACGCGGCGGTCGACGCGCAGACCGCACATTTGCGCTCGGTCGAGCCGAGCTGGGCTTTACTACTACCGCCTCGAATCCGCTTCTTTCCCTCGGCCCGGGAACCGAGGCGTCGATACCGCGACGACGCTTGCGCGCCTCCCCCGATCCACCCTTTCCCACCCAGGCATTTTCACAGCGCATTGGCTCGAAGCCTGCCGGCGCGGCGCGACGCGACGCCATGGCGCCCTGCACGAACGCTCCTGCTACCGAATCAAATCCATTCGATTTTAGGGAAAATCCTCGCGCGTCAGCTGGCCCTTCGCGAATTCACGCTCCCCCTTCTCGCTCGCGCCGCGTAAGGTAGGGACCCCGAGTTGGCACGTGCTTCGCGATCTCGGTCAACGGGGCTGTTACGCCGCTTTCACACGGCGTGCTTCGCGATGCGAGGCGCACATTCTTGGTGATATGCACGGTGAAACTTCGATTAACCGATCTCACTCGGTGAATAACGGGAAAGATGAATGGAAGGAAGTTTTCGGCAGATTAAGTCGTGCTGTGGGTAAGATCATTTCTTGCGTTACTTCGCCATTTTGGAAAGAAGGAAGAAGGGGGAAAGGGTCTGTATAACAATGGTCAAATAGTCAGTGAAAGTTTAGTATAAAAAGAATCTTTACTTATGGGAGGACTTAATATGTTTGTAAAACTCGATCGGTATGGTTGGAAAGAGCAAAGCCTACTCTTTAACCCGTTAAGTGCGGAATTTAGTTTCAAGAATCTCTTATTCTGCGCGCAATAAAATCAAATAATGAAGTGTACTCGTCAAATACAGGCCAAATGCACTTATAATATATTCCACCGAAAAAACTAAAGCAAAACGGAAAAGAATTACTCGTTTGTCTAAAAAAATGAACAGTCCATCGTTGAAAAAGTTAGCACCAGTTAGAGATTTAAGATGACATGTATATGTACTTGTCAAACGCAATTAACTGGTTGATATATAATAAAAACTGAATGCTACTATTCGTAATCTTAGTAGCCACAGCAATTTTTGTTCGACATTGCTCGCGGCCTTACGGTTGTCCCGACACCGGAGCGGGACCTGGCTTTCTACCCTACCGAACTGGAGCCTTGATCTGCCGTGTTTGCGTCACTCGCGGCTCGTTATTGTATTTTTTCTGTTTTTTCCTTCTTATTTAGGGGACGTCACCGTAGCGACGTCGATAGATCGGACACGAGGACGCGAGATATTTTGGACGGGACACTCTGTATCGACTTATCAACATATTGGGTTGATGCATGAAATGTGCTGTTTTACTTAACGAATTAAAGTTTTCTTTAGGTAAAACAAACGGCGCAATAATTTTAATCGACAGCACGTTCACCGTTATTGCATATGGCACGCTGAATGTCAAATAAATCTACGCCGCAAGTTGAAACTCGTCTCTCAGAAACAATGACTCACTATTTACTTTTACTACGGAACTTTTTTATGTGTCAGCCCAATACAATCAGTCGATTGGTTTGTTGTTTGTGTTTCCGACGAGGGATGGATTTAGAATAATTTCTGTCAAATTTAATTCTCGAATAGAAAATTTCTATGAGTTTCGAATAGTTCGAATTTGATATTTGCATTTTAATGTTTTAATACTACTATGCAATATCCTTGCGTTTGTTAATCGTTTGTTGGAAACTTTCAACAATTTCGAACATGTACCTAACTTTTAGAAGAAATGATTTTAAAATCTTGGGAACTACTTGGTTTATAAATATTCCGGCCTTTCTATTTTTCCATAATTTTATCGATATTTCTAATTGTATCCTGATCTTTTTTTAATTTACTTGTATGAACAGAATGTTTGAAAGTTTTAAAAGCACTTGGATTCAAAATTTAGAATGTTTACACATCTTGGATTACTGCAACGATAAATTTCATTATTACGTAGTGATTCACGCATATTAAATATTACAGAATGATTTATGCTTTTAAATACGGGTATATTTATATCTATTGGTAGACTACAGATGTTTATGGAAATTCAAATGTTCAAAATTATAATTGGAGGAGTAGAATTACAGTAGAACATGATTTTGCTTAACAAATATTATAAAAAGTACTACATTTTGGATATTTCACATATTTTTTCGCATACTCCATGCAATTTTGTATTTTAAAATTTTCCATAAATACATAACAATACGCAGTCCAGTTGTGATAACAATTTTTTCGAAAATATTGCCTTGAGTTACACCGACAATCGCAAAAATCGTCTTGCCTGAACATTTAAATATCGATAACGTCGGGTGGCCATAGAAGAGAAGACAGCTGTTATATCATTGATGCAGCTATTCAATCTCTTCTTCTGAAAAACAGGCTATAAAAACAGCATTCAAAGATTGAAACTCCATTAAGCAAATTTCTTATAACACTTCGTTTGCATTTAATTATTTGCTTGTGAACTTTCCCATATATTACTGTCAAGTGGTAATATTAATGAGTACAACATTTATCAAGTTTGGCGCTGATTGCTCTAAAGTGACAGTATAAACACTATGGATACGTTAAAATATACCCGCGTATGTTATTATGTGCGTGGCGTCATAATGACTTGCGAAAAACCAGTGAATACAACATTTCAATTTTATAATTACTACAAATAATGAAGACATCAGTATGTCTTACTGAAATAATACTAAATAATTTTAATTTTCAAAATTATATAACTTGCTCATGTTTTTATATTACAATATTGCACGTGAAAGCTATAGCTTTTGCTGTAACAATTAATTGTTAGCATAGTTTTTCCAACAATTAGAAGGTGATATTGAAAACATCGAGTCGAATATTAAAATTTCAAGTCAGAAATGGATTTATTACCCGGCACTAGCGTCATGTCCTGAACTGTAAATGAAACTTCTTACAAAATTATTAAATAGACTTAACGCGTTCACTATCCATAAATCATATGTGATTCGTTAGATATAGAAACTTGACCGCTTATATACCGTACGTGATTCAAATGCACACTTCTAACACAACTGCAGTGTATCAAATAGACGCCTAGTTTCAGTAAGTTAAAACTTTACCGGATACGTGTGTACGATAGAATGTCAAGTAATTTGATGTAACGCTATAAGAAATTTTGTATTTCTCCAATGATCGTGTATTGCGTAAAAGGTTATTAGACTTGGATAGTAGACGTGTTAACTTAAAGATAAACTTAAAAATGAATTTACTATGAAAGAGTAACAGGTTTAAACAACGTACTTTTACTTGTCCCAGCGTCAAAGTGTTAATATAAGCGTGCAAACATAGTAATTAATAATTATATCTTCGCAATTTGGACAAACCGCTGCTACATAATTTCGATCAACGTCTGTTAATCACGTGGAAATCGGAAGCCGCGAAGTATATGTATCTATATATCCAGAAATCAGGACAATCTATCGTTACGTTGTGCCAAACTGGAAATGTCATGACGCACGCATAATGCTCCGTGGACAGACGATCTAAACGTAACTTGTTTGCAAAAGGGAACATCCACTACATCATTCCTGTCATTTTACATTATGTTGCAGA